CTTGAGACCCTGCTGAATGGAAGGGCAAAGGGACAAAAGTTTAGATGCATCCTGAGACCCAAAGGACATTGGGAGTATAGAAAGTGAATCGATCCTGCATTGCTCCATCCAATCATATAAGGAAATAAAAATGTAATGCCTACCTTAACATAACAGTATGATGGAAACACATTTAAGAACCTTGTTAAAACAGCTTTCTATATCTATCTAATCCATGAAAAGCATCTTGATGAACTTAAGTATTGTTTCAAGTATAAGAATTTCAGTGAAATGACAGATTAAATGGCCTTCAACTAAAAAATTCCAAACCTGAAAGAAAAAAATGTTGGGTTTTTTCCAGCCCATGATACGTTGTCCTACGTCTATAAGGAATTATAGTCGATTAAAATTGGAGTTGTTTTCCCAATTGGAGTTAGTTTCTCAATTGGAGGATTCATAACTAGATTCCAATTAGGATTAGTAATCCTTATTGAAGAAGACCTTTATTATGTCTATATAAAGGGACTATTGTACTAGTTTTGAGAAGGGAGCAAAACAATAAATTGTATACCACTGAAGGGATTAGAGTGAGAGAATATTGTAAAGTGTGTATGAGAGAAAAGAAAAGAGATAGTGTATTTCTTGTTCTTGTTCTTTCAGGTTTTTCGTCGAGTCCTAGTTCTAGAGATTTGGCAAGATTATTGGTTGTACTCATTATTGATATAGTGAAAGATTGTTGTTGCTGTCCTGTGGATATAGGCACATATTGCCGAACCACGTAAATTCTTAGTGTTATTTATCTTGGTTATTTGTTTTTCGATTTCCGGAGTTTGTTCTTGTTTTTCCCATTCTTAAACGCGATATTCTCAACAAAAAAAAAAAAAAAAAAAAACCGCACAATGATTATAATAGGGGTTTATAATAAGATGGTCACTCTGTTCACCCATGAAAGCAATCTAATTAGGGCACAAAGAGTAAAACAGAAAAGGTACAGTGTCAAGTGATAAAATTTCATACTTATGTTACAATAGGTGATGAAATTAACTCGTAGAAAAGTAAAGTATTCATAACAATAGTAGAGAAGTTTACCAGCTATCACGTTCGAGAGCATCTTCTGTAGCAGCATCAAGCATCTCAATTATTGAGGGGTGAACAAATGTAGTAACCAAAGGTATGCCTTCTGGATATCTGGACTAAATTCAAGTACATAACCACAAATTTAATTACATATAAAACAATAGAAACAAAGAAATGACTTCACATAGAAATCCTATAAGCTCCAAAATCAGAGCATCAACATGAAAACAATTAGATACCTGCAAGAACTGAATGGGCTGAGGAATTCTAAGTTTGTGTAGAACATCATAGTTAATGAAAGAATTCTGCAGGATATTGAAGAAAAAGTTAGAAGAACAAATCATTAATATCTAAGAATGTTCTTCCCTACTTCAGTACCAAAAAGAAATGCTAGAAACCACACAAAATGTATTGAACTTTGGTTTCCCATAAATTTATGTAACCACAAAATCACAAATTCTTTAGAAAGGTCCAAGCCTTGGACTGAGAAGCTACTAGTAATCTCGACACTCTACAAGTACAAAAAAATAGTGCTAAATACCACATATAATACACTTGTTGAGTTGCATTACCAATACTGCTCATTGGATAGAGGTCTCAAAAATGAGAAAAGTAAAAGGTCAAATCAGAGGTTGAAACTAAAACATACAACTGAGCATGCAATTAGGAGTAAATGTTAAATTTGAAGTTCAGGAAGCATCTACAGGTTTCCGGACACCACATGTTTACAAATAGGTGGGAGAAAAGGGTTTCATACCTGAGAAAAGAAAGAATCAATTGATTCCTTTTGAGCAATGGCAAAGACCTGTACGGAAGTTACAAATAATGTACAGGTATAGTCAGCTTTAAAGAAAATATTTTTCTTTGATAGAAAACCATAAAGTCTATGTGAAGAGATTCTGTAATAACAAAGCTAATGGTCTGCATGTTTGTGCTAGCACATTACTGAAGTCGATGTTAATCAGAGGATGGAACTTTTACTCCAGTCATTATACACAATGAAATCAAAACACCTAAACCAAATGAAACGAGATTATGACACATACATTAGGTGTCCAATGAACTCCTGCACGAAGTGATCCAAGAATTTCGCCTTCCTTTACAAGCCCATTAAACAGGGACTGGAAAAATGAACCTTCTACAGCCACTCCACTGGCTCCATCCATTTCTTGCAACAGCTGCTGTAACGAACTCCACAACAATGATAAGTTTGTGGGAACTGCAATACCTCTGGCAGCACCACGAACCATGGCAGTAACCCGTGCAACTGTATGCAGGAGTATACAACTGCCCACCTTCAAGCCTACCTTTCACCTGAATCAAGAGAACAACCCATATATAATCTTCCTTTCCTCGATTCCAAAATCACTCAAAGCCAGGAAAATTAGTTACCAAAGTCCCAAGGCGGGGCTCCAACACAGATGCCACCATTTCCGAACTGACATGCAACTGCGCGGCAAGTTCTGCCAAAGCGATTTGGCTACACTCTTGAAGCCTGTCATTGACTTCTTCGGCAACAGAATCCCAATAAGACTGTGATATTATTTCGCCTTGAATCAACATAAGCTCCGGATCATCCAAAACAACATGCTGAGCTTGCTTCTCAACATGATACAAATCCACTCCTGTAGTGTCCGCAAGGTCAATCAACGAAACACGCCCTAGTTTACTGACCTCCGCCGATATTTCGTTCCTCAATTGATCCTATCATTACCACACCACCATCATTCACCAAATTCAAACCATTCCAGCCAAAATCACACTCACACTCACTACTCAAATTACAAATGCAATTATCATATTAAATAAATAACAATACATAAAACGAAAAACTATTACCAAACACATTATTGATTTGAATTACGATGAAATTAAAACGAAATGCCGTGTTTGATGACCGAAATTGAAAATAAAAGGGAGTTTCTTCAAATAATTTCTCATCTATTTTCTCGAGAAACAAAGATATAGATATAGATATATATATATATATATATAGAGAGAGAGAGAGAGAGAGAGAGAGAGAGGTTTACGGGAGTAATGTATTCTTTGCCGGTGACGGTGTGGAGGAGCTCGAAGTCGATGATGTGGAGCTCCTGAAGCTTCTGGACCAATTCGACGACGTTTCGATCGGATAATCTGATGCTCGATTTCGCTTGCTGTGCGAACTCGAATTGCCTCTGCAATTCCAGCAATTCATCGTCCATTTTCGGATCACTTTCCGAGTCTCCGGGTCCAGAGAGAGGTTTTGTTCGCGCTTTTGCTCTCGTTGGACCTTTCGACCCGAATGCTCTCGTATATCCGATTCTCGCAAAAATCAGGTTTCTATTGGGCTTCTCGGACTCCATTATGCGTCTTTGTGAGTTGGGCTTGAAGCCCATTAAAAGGCCCATATGTCTAATAATTCGAGTTTTATGGGTATCCAGAAATGGAAAATAAAATAAAAAGAATTTAGGGTACCATCCTGCAACTGAATATCCCACCCTGGGCAGGACGATTGAGGAGACCATCTTCCGCAGCCGCCTCGACATTGACTATTTGCATTTATTACACGTGGTTCCTAATAATTCTCAATTCTTCATCGAGTGAGTGCGCTTGTGTCTCCCGTTGACTGTCAACTACTAAAATTTTCGGTATTTCTATAAAAATATTGAAAAAATCAGAAAAATATTAAAAATGTCTGAAGTCTAAACTTCACTCTGTACAGAAAAAGTTCTAAAATTTCGGCTAAAATCAAAGGATTTTGTTGAATATTTTTGATAAAATGCCATAAAATATTCTTTAAATTTCATTTTAAATTTTCACGTTTTTGAGCAAATTTTCATTATTTTCATATAAAACAACTGATATTGGTATGAATATTGATATATACATTGATATTTTTATAAATTTGTACATCGATATTGCCACATATGACAATATTTTAAGGACATCAACTACAAAATTTTATTTACGATCATATTTTTATAAGAAAAATGAGATGCACTGCTAGAGTTAAATATCATGTTAATTTCAGTGTTATAAAATGATATAAATATAACTAGTTCGGTTTAATGGACTGTTTTTTAATCAACGTGTTTTTTAAGACAAGATTAGACACTTATCACTTTATATATGCAACCAATGGAAAGAGATCATGATCTCCTTCTCCAAAGCTACCAAATCAAGTGATTTGGACTATTAAAATATAATTCAACGATAACAAATTATTATAACTTTTAAAAAATTTTACTAACTTTTCTGTTTTTAGTCATTTGATCAAATTTTAAAGATCCGGATCATTTGATTTATGGTTTTAAAGAAAGAGATCCGAAGATGATCTCTTTCCGCAATCAATCGACATGTTACTGATAATATCATATCATAAAAGTGACAGTAACCTTTATAGTTAAGACTTAACATGAATAAAATCTTTACATAAAAATGTAATCAATAATATAATCAGTAACGCAAGGTCCGAACGTTTGAGTACGTAGATTACTTAAACATCGACATATTTTAAATAATTATCGAATCCCCTTATCATCGCATCTCTAAATAGTACATTCAACATGATATTATACGTAAGGGGTACATTAAATGTATCGACTCACTATGATTGTCCCTCTTGTCCTCAAAGTCAATGATGGTCTTTAGTTGGACAAATTGTTGGGATATGGTTTCGCAAAACCCAAAAAAATATCTAAAGGAGGAAAAAGGGTTTTTATAGTCAAATGATTTTTGAGGTTAGTATATCTCTTTATTATGGACTCTGACGTTTAAAATTGATAAAACTATTCTTGAGTTTGTCGATTATCAATCAATTTGTAAAAAATCTCCGTTAAATTAAATAAAACGTAAATACTCTCAATTTTTGTCAATTCATTTAAACCCATTGTTCATTAAATTGAGGATATTTGACTTTATTTAACATACATTTTTTACGGAATGACCAAAATGATTAAAAGTAGAGAAAATCGAGGACCAGTTCCATCAATTTTAAATCTCAAAAACTAAAATGAGGAGTTATGTCGATCTCAAGGTGCATTTTGGCTAAAAACTATGATCAACTCCTTGTAGACAATATACATTTTTGAAGTTGATTTTATAATAATTATGGACACCTTTTAGGCCCAATGGTGGCAAAACAAAAATATGATGCAGGCGTGTATGGAAGCAGTTTCAAATTGCATACATCTTCTTATAGTCATTGTTGAGCAGCTCAGATTCAGACATTACTGCAGACAAAGACCACGAGCGCGATCTGCTGTCCAACGATGATCTCCGAATGCTTCTCATGTTCTTCGCCTCAATCCGATGCCTAACTACCCAGAAACACATGGTTCCCAGAGTTGCAGCCATGATTACAGTTCCGATGATTGTTACTCCAATTGCTAGCCATGTCTGACGACCCACCACAACAAAAGAGAGCGCCAGAAATGCCACGGAAACAAGCACACAAGCCAACCACATTAGCTTGTTGATGATTGCCATCATCTGCTTCTTCGCCTTGCTCTCGATCACCACAACAGAAGTTTGCACCACCACAACAGCCAGAGAAATGAAGAGCGCAATGGAGTCGAAGATGAAGAAGATTATGAAGCGAGTTTGGGAGCAATGTTTGCCTCGCCAAGTGACTGCCCCGCAGGAATGTCTTCGGGGTCATCAACGTATTGGCCAGGGATTTGGAAAATAGCTGCAAAGGTGACCGTGGCTATGAGGACAGCAACGACAGTGTTGGAGTTTATGGCATTGTTGAGGCCTTCCGTGTGCATTTTGTGAAGGCGTTTGGCAATGCCTTGAACTCGTCTTCTGGTTTGGCGAGTGTGTTCTAGCTGGTGGTGGACTTCGTGTTTTATGTCACTCACTGTTTGTTTCAGCTCTCGAGCTGGGTTTGTAGCTTGTGGTTTGATTTCTTTAGCACTCTGGACACCGCGCTCTTGGAGAAAAGCTTTAATGTCCGGGTTCCCAGTTTTCTCGGCAGTGTCAAGGGCAGTTTCTGCAGACTTGTTTACTGCTTTTGTGTTGGTTTCACTGTGTTCGAGTAGCATCTTAACAATCTGCACACATAAAACCGACATTATGCTCGTCAGATTGAAACTTACAATTTCTTTCTGTAATTTGGTATAAGGGGTCTAATAAATTCATCCGATTAACCAATAAAAGGTAAAAGAAGCATCATAAGTACCTATAAAACCTAACAAAGGTAGAATTTGTAACTTTGTGGGGAGACAACCCGGAAATGCACCAAAATTGTCGAGCAAAAGCAACCAAGATGCCCAAATTACAAAACTTAATGAAGGTAAGCTTATACAAGACTATTGCTTTTTCTCAAAAGATTGAGATTTAGCGATCCATCGCGCTATAGCATTGCATAAAATCCGGAAGATGAGAGCATCTAGCCTGCCTAAATAACCGAACGTAATGTGCACTATAGCCTATAGGCATAAGAATGTGAAGGAATTTTGTTGAATCATTAATATAAGTTCTTATGCATTCAGCTCAATTAAGAAAACATGAAATGTTAGTAAGGTCAGGGAAAAGGTTAGTTTACCTCAGCTCTACCCTTCCGGGTAGCTATATGCAACGCCGTGTTGTCTTTACCGTCAACCATGTTTATCAAAGAAGGATCTGCCTTGATCAACTGCTCCACCACCTCAAGATTCTGCCCCTTAGCCGCCATGTGCAGCGCCGTCTGCCCCTTCTTATCCACCCGCGTTGCAATACCAGGCTCCTTGTCCAGAAGCGCCTTCACAACCTCCAAATGACCATTTCTCGCTGCAGAATGCAGCGCGGTTTTTCCATTACTTCTAGCAATGGTTGCCAGGCTGCTTCCTGCCTCCAATAGAAAGTTCACCACCTCGATATGCCCTTGCATCGCAGCTGTGTGCAAAGCCGTGGTGTTTGATAGATCCACCGTCATAGTCAGTTCCGGATGAGCCTCCATAAGCACATTCAACACATCTGCAAAAGGCACAAACCGAAAACATTAATCTTCCACCGAAAACAACATAACACGAAAAATGAAGAAAAAGGGGAAGTTCTTAACGGATACATACCCATATCCCCTTGTTTGGCAGCAATGTGGAACGCATCAAACCCGTTTCTCGCTTTGATTCCGGCGTTGGCGAGATCATAGTACTTGATCATCTCCCTGACCAAATCAACATAACCATATTCTGCAGCAACATATAGTGCTGTTTCATCAGATGAGTTTTGCTTTGCCAATAACTCCTTCAACTCACCCTCTTCTGTATTTTCAAGGATATCCATCACCACCGCCATCCTTCCAGACCTCGCCGCGGAATGTAAAGGCGTATCATCGCGCTTTCCCGTTAACTGCTTGGTCATCTTCTTCCGGGACAAGGTTGGCTGCGCCACCGCCTGCGGCTGCTCAGTCGGGGCCGCTTCTGCCTCCATTATAGCAAGTTACAAAAATATCCCCCTTCTTTCTCTCTCTATATCTATTTTTCTATCTCTCCTTCTCCACAAGCTAATTCTAACCAATGATTTCAAGAGTTTTTCCTCTTCTTTCAAGCAAAAACCCAGATCAAAATTTGCATTTTTCATCCAAAACAGTCATCGTTTCTTCAAACCAAATCAAAGAAATTCAAAAAAATCCCCTGAAATTCAGCAAAACCACGGCCTTTGAAATCGGTTTCTATCTCACACCTCTGGTTCTGAATTCTCCTCCACCCCAAATCGCTGCCCTGTTTCCACAACAAAAAACAGAGCTCTACCAATCAATCCCAGCTTCAACAAACCTAAAAAAAAAACACAATATTACAAAAACAAAATTATGGGTTTTTGTTGTTGCACTTTTCTCAACATATCCTAATTTCTCATTCAGTTTTTTCAACACAACAGGATTTGAAAATTTGAATTAAAAACCAAAGAAAAAAGGGAAAAATAAACCGAAGAAACTATATGTACCTGGTTCTGAAGAAACAGAAAGGAGCTTGTATGTTCTCCTCTTCCATGTAACCAAAAACAGCCCGTAAAATTCAGGAGCAGTTTCTAGAGGGCCATGGGATTCAACAACCACGCTGTAAAAGCATATTTAGGAGACAAATGAAAGGAAGTAGAAACTTTTTTCTGAGAGGCCCTTTTCTTTCGGAGGTAGAAAGAGCAAGAAAGGAATTGGCTATAACATACACACACACACACACACACACATACATATATATATATATATATATATATATATATATATCCAGGTGAATATGTAAATTGAAGGAAAATAGGCCAAGAAATGGAAATTTAAAAAAAAAAAAAAGTATTAAATAAAAAAAGGGCATGTATACAACAACAGCGACAGCTGCAACTTTACGTGAATCCGAATCGGACCCAGAATAACCAATAAATGATTGCCCAAAGGTTTTAGTTCTAGAGAAAATTTAAGGAAAATGACTTCTACACGTCTTTATTTTTCTGTACGTCTCTATTTAAAATCATATGTTAATCTCGGTTGTTTTATTTGATCAAAATGACAAATATGGTGTTTATAAGGATAAAAATATTATGTAAAATTGTTTTTTTTTTAAATTAAAAGAAAATATTATTTTTATAAAGACGAAGATGGGATAAAATAAAATGGGAGGGGGGAAAAACAGAATGAAGTGGCGAAATATATGAAGTAACGGAGATAACAGAACCACGCGCGCTTTTGAATGGGTTGGCGCACAGGGTTTTCATGTTCTTATTCTTCTTTTATTAATTTTTATTTTTGTTTTTACAAACAACTGGTTAAGAAGTAGACATATCCATTCAGGATTGAGTTTACTTGTATTGAAATTTATATTCCTTAAAATTAAATTCTGATGACAGGTCAACCACCATTGAAGTTCTTGAAAGCAATAAGTTTTTTCTTATGTTGAGATTAGGGGGAGAAACCAAAAAACTAATTAGGATTTTTTTTAATAAAATCTTGGATTAATTCGGTTAGTTTCTTGTTTTAGGTTTTTATTTTGGGAGCTTTCTTTTTTTTTAGACAAAACAATAGTGGTTTTTTTATTATAACAAATACAACTATCAAAGAGAATATTCGAGATAATATCCAAAAGGCCCTCAATCTAAATAAGCTTTAATAAAACATAAAAGGTCAACTCGGTCAAACTAGTTGCCGCAATACTAGTGGATTTGAGGGAGAGATGCCCGAAAGTGAGTAAAACAACGCATCAAAGTCTTGAAATCATCCACAGTCAAACTTAGGGCTAATTTGGTATTGATGTGCTTTGAAAAAAAGTTGATTCTGCTGTGCTGTGAGAATAAGCAGTTGTAAAATAAAGCAGCAGAGTGTTTGGTAAACTTTTTTGTGAAAGTGCTTTTGGAAAAAGAAAAGAAAAAACAGTATTATAGTGTTTGATAAACTTTTATGTAAAACAGCTGTGACTGTGTGAAATGACAAAAAAGGGTATAATACTAGTAATTTAATTTTCTTAACAAATAAAGGTGAATTACTAAATATACTTTATTTTTAAAAGAAAAATATTTATAAACCTTATCTTAAATATTAATTAGTATGACAAACTACTTCAATTGAAATATTTTAGACTGATAGCTAGGATTCATTAGTACAATATTTTTTCCCAATTAATTTTTTCCACAAACCATATCACCTTCCCCAATTAATTTGTTCCCGACCCTCCATCCCCAATCATTTTTCCTGACACCCATACACTCATCCATTTGCTCTTCCCACCCTTCTTTCACTCTCACTCTCCCATCCCCAAATTTAAAAATCCAAACAAATAAATAGCGAAATTTTAGACATGAGAAGCTTACCAGAGGAGGGATGTCGAGCAGGAGAACGCAACCTGGAGAACGAGAGAGATTGTCGAGATTGAAGTTTTCTAGTTTGGGTGCGAGAGGTGTGCTTACGAGAGGCATGTTCTGAAAGTGTGAGGAAAGGAGGAGGGCAATTTTGGGCTATTGAAAAATTCATTAAAGATTACTGTTCACCCGTGTTTTTAAAAATAAGCTAATTTTTGGAAGCTGCTATTTGCAGCTTCATGTTTTGGGCTTATTTTCATCCAAAACTTTGAAATAAAGCTGATTTTGAGAGTTTACCAAACACCAAAAACCCTCCCAGTTTTTTTTCATACCAGCTTTTTTTAAAATCACATCAACCCCAAACCATACCTTAGAGGACTAAGATGACACTTCAAAGCCAAACAAATTATATTCAAATATCCTCTGACCTCACTAAGGGTTTCAGCCAATTTTTCTTAGCCAAAAGCACTAAAATAACTTATTTAATAGAAGGAACACAAGAATAAAATAGCAGCTGACACGCAGAGAGACCAAATCACGCGCGAGTCAGGAAAATTGCACAATAATCACTCTAATGAGACCCCAACCTGGAGGTAGTAGAGCAACAATATAAACACCTCCGATCATAAACACTGAAACCAATAGTTTTGAGCAACACTCATATTTATCTTTTGAAAAGTCAAGCATTATTCTACGTATAATTGGGGTTTGATTTGGGTTACAAAATATAATGGATGATGGGAAAAGCACCATAAGTATTAGTGGGTCACAGCTAGAGGTAATCATCGACCAACCCAAAAACCCTAGTGACTAATTACCGCATACATATAACATCTTTATTTGATTTTCGCACATGGAGTTCAATTTAGTACACGTCTATTGAATCCATCTTTAAACTTTGGGCCCATGCATTCTTTACCTTTCATGAAGAAAAGGATAAAGTAGATTCTTGTGGACGACTTTCGTACTCTAGATTTTTTTAATGTGTTGAAAACATGAGCAGTATAATAAGTGTATTAATACAATTAGGTAAAAATTTAAAAATGTAAATTCAACTAACTGTATATTATAACATTTGATGTATCGGAATGTGTTCTTAACACATTGAAAATTTTCTCTATTCATACCCTTTTATTGTATGTGATTATCGGTTAGGCATATGGAAATGCAAAATTTTGTTTTTCTAATGATTCTAATCTATTTCAAGAAAAATAATGAATTTATAAGGGTAAGATGAGTCTATAAAAGTGATATAATGAGTCTATTAGAGTGTCGGTCAGTTAGACAATTTGGATTTTTTTAATCATTTTTGCTAATTGGCTTGTTATCACCTTGTTTAGACTGAGAAATTTTTCGTTGTGAACTGGGAACACAGGATGATACACCACTTGTTTTTATGCAAGTGGTGGAAAATTTTAATTTTTAAGTTATTAATCTTTTAATACACATAACCCACCATTTATATAGGGACACGTGATGTACCACCTTGTGTGACGGTCATACTAAAAAATCTCTTGTTTAGATTTTGGATTGTGTTTTTGTTAAGGATAATTAATTAATCATATTCGCACTTCATTCGAATACTACAAATAACACTATGAAATGAATAACGTTAGGAATATCAAAATTTTAAATCAAATGATGTGTCACAAATAGAAAATAAGTACATTAATTAATAGTTAAGTAATAATCCAATCATTAGTATCAACATCATTTATTTTATAAAATTTGGTTTAAAAACTTGATCTCCCTAGCATTACCCTTAAGAAATTGTTATTGATACTTTAAAAATCTAATTGTGCACTTCAATAATAACTATAACACTATTATTATGTTACTGTTATTATATATATATATATATATATATATATATATTAATGGGTGACGGAGAATTAAATTTAGAACTTCAAGTGCATAAACAACTGCTCTTACTCACTTAGCACTAAATCACTTGCCTATAAAAACATATTTTCTAAAACAATATAATATGTCCCCGTCTAGTTTGTAGATACATTTAGGCTACCTAAACAAAACATTATTGGAATTGTTTTTGGACATTATCCTTATTTCTAAATTGTAGATATGCAAAGGAAACATTTCTTTTCATTTATCTTTTTATTTACATATTTGGCATTCTATTATATTTAGAAGGTGATGGTCTATAATATATGGGCTCATTCTAACATATATATAAGGAGTTTGTACGTTGTAGAAAGCGGATTTCATTAATAAGAAACGATAAATTCATGGCATTCATGTATATATGCGTTCACAAACGAAGACAAAGTAAAATCTAATCACACATTCTATTGTCTGACAAAATAATATTCTCGCTATTTCTTTATTGGTCGGTAACTTAAAATGTCCCAAAGTATTTATCTTTTATTTTTCTGAACCAATTATCTATCTTCATTATTCATAAGCAAAGTTCTAAAAAATGTTAAGTACTAGTAGGATAATACGTTGGGGTCCAGTGGCTAGGCGGCTAAGCGGGAGTTTAGGCGAATTTAATTAAATTTATTATATAACATATAAATAAGTGCCGACTGACACTCTAGAAAATAAAAATATATTTATATTGGAAATTTAGAAAAGTTGAAACTTTAAACTTAAGACATATTGTCATCGTCACTGACAAATGCAGCAAAAAATAAGAAAAATAAGAAAACCAAATTTGAAAATTTACTAATTAACTAGGTTATTCAAAAAATCTTTAACTTAATCAATAAAATTAAAAACAATGGAACTGCCTAATCCTCGTCTAGCCTAGCCTCTAGCCAATTTTTTTTCACATTTCAACTTAAATCGCATCAATCTTCGATCGCATAAGTCAATTTTTAGAACACTTCATAAACCAAAAAATTGTCACTTTCATATCTTGCTTAATTTCTACAAGTTCATTTTGGTCGGTGACTCAGGAGGTAAAGTGATTTCTTTTTTTTTTTTTTCTTTTTATATTTTTTGGTCCAAGGAAGTAAAGTGAATTCAAGCCTACAATGATTGCATATTTTACACACTTTACACTGTGTGAGTCGTTCAATTGCCAAAGGTGGTCCCAAGTCAGCTAAAATATTTGGGGCCCGCGCAGGTGGACCGCGACTGTTTTGGACGGAGGTGAGAACGCCCACGTTGCCACGGCAGTCCAAGACAAGACAAAATCGACGAGTAAAAATGGACCCACGCGTATTTGTCAAATCCCGCGGACCCACACCCGAGCATCGGAGGACACCTCACACCAACTACGGGAGATAGGAAGCACGCGCCGCGTAATGTGCGTACTGGAGATGACTGTGTAGCCCGACAAGTGCTGATGAACTCAGATGGGTTATGTCCGGATCAACAGATAACGAGCGAGATCCCAACTATCTAGAGCACACCAACCCACGGCCAGAACAAGCAAACA